CAAGGAAGAAGCGTGTACAGAAAATGGATGGATGGATGGATGGATGGATGGATGAAATCCGTGGCAGTGATTGGTCCATGTCGGGGTTTTTCTAACGACGTCATCCAGGATCAACTTTGCGGCACAGCCAGGTGTCGCAAATCATCTCTAAGACTGACACTTAAGAATTGTTCCTACACTTCACTTAAAGTAAGACTGAGACGCTTGATAACTGACTTTTACTCTCAGCTTTTAGCTAAGATTTTTTTTACACTTAAGTCCACTCAGCATTCTTAAGAGTAATTCTAAGAAGTTTGACAAACAGTTCTGTCTCGCTGACGTGCGTCAATTCAAATATGTTTCTCTCTTCCTGCRTTGCCCCCTGTCAGAACTAATTGCCTTGCAGGGTATGATTGCGCAGTTGTTCAAAATTGCGTGGGCGTGTTTTTACAGAAAAGAGACTGAGGTACACATCACTCCTTTCAGCTTCGCTGAAGAGCAGCTGGCCAAGGCTGTTAGAAAATACAGTCAACTTCCCAGCTGTCCTGGGAAAACTTATAAAGATTGATTGAGAGGTTGCTGAGAGACTGCTGCTGTCCTGGAGGGACATTGTTCAGACTGTGTAATTATCAACAGAAATATCAGATCCTCATCAACTCCTCTGTCATCAGCTGAAAATAAACAGTCACTCTGTCAACAGTTCTGCCTCTGTAGTTTTAGTTTGAATGATATGTGTYCTGCAGTGGGGTGGGTTACCAGGACTTCTTTTCAGCAGTTTCTCTGAGTATGAATTGTTCATGTGGAAAAAACCCATCACACAATCACGTCAGCTGGATCTGATGACTTACATCTCATGAAGTACAACAAGGGCTTTTATGTCATTGCTCCTGAGTTGTTCAGAACTGTGTTTAACCCACTAGATGGCAATGTTGTGAGCCAAGAAACTACAGCTCAGAGAAGAAATGAGAAGTACATTTTAACTGCAGCAAACGTTTTGGTGCTTTCAGCTGTCTGACCTACCTGATAATGCTGAGTAGATTAAATAGGTCGGTGATAGGCTGAATAAAGGTTTCCAATGTTTAAAACTATGCAGTTGGGTTAAAGTAAATTACAAAACAGCATGTGAAGTCAGGTCAGCCTGGAAACAGGAGTGGCTTGAATTACAGGAAGTTCCTTTACGCGCCTAGAGCCTGCCTTTTAGCCCTCCATTTGTTTCCTCTCACAGCTGCCGGTATCGTCTGTTATTTTTACCACTGTGAAAAGCTGTTTTTTTTTCCCCCAACAACCTGCCAAAAACTTTTCTTTCTTTAATTTTTCCTTCACATCTGTCTGGAGTTGAGACATCCATCTGACTGACTTTTATCAGAGAGGTGAACATCTGCAGACGTTCAACAGCTCTCCACGTGTTCCAGTGTCTGCTCTGTGAGTTTTTTTTCCAGTTCAATTTATGAGCCAAAACATTGCCTGAATACTGACAAAAGATGTCCTCAAATATTTATGTTTTGCTTTCATTTTTCACCGTTAAAGCTGAAGAATGATCTATTCTCACATGTGGTATCTGTGACACGCTGGCAGGATGCTTGCGACAGAGGCGGGAGTTTTAAAGCGGTTATTGTGGATGAATTATGTTTATTCTTGACTTTTAAGAGGCAACATTTAAAACTTTTTGCTGATTTTTTTAGTTTAATAACTATTCACACCATCTGTAGTCTCTCATCCTGTGACAAACACCTTTAAACAACCAAAATGTTGGAAAATCATCGTTTTTTGTGTGTGTTTTGTTTGTCTTTTATGTTTCCTTGTAAATATGAAACAAAATAAATCCACAAATTAAAAAAATAAGGTCATTTAGTTGTTAATAATGAAAAATATACCATTCAGTGGCGGTTTGTATCAGAGCATCTGATCCAAACAAAYTGCCACTGAATGGTATATTTTTTAGTAAAGTTCTGTGTCAGGGTGAGATAAAGTCATWAAGGGTGTCTCCTAGGCGTGCAGGCAGGCACACAAAGCTTTTATCTGTTAAACTTTTATCAGCCAACTGAAATGTTTTGTCTCTCAGACGTAAGACAGCATTTTAACTCTTGAAACACCACAGTAAAATCGTTGTTTCTGTTTTTGTACTACGGAACAGACCATGCACACTATTTTCATCGAAGAATCAAAGATTCGTGAACAAACTGCCGTCTGTCTTTAAAAGAAGGACTTGTCCCTCTTCAGTCAGACGTGTGTGGGAACATTCGAAGTGGCTGTCCTTGGCTTTGTCATGCTTCCTGTTATGAATCAGTTCAGGTTTCATATTTCGGTCTTGAGTCGAAACACATGRGACTGTTTGATCACACGAAAGCAGTCCTGGAAAAGCTCCTATCTCTTAAGCTAATTACCATCACCATGACAAGCACAGGATGCAAACCATCAACCTGGGTTGACATCCGTTCACTCCCTCCTTTCTGCTTGCCTGGTCCATGTTGACATTGTTTATGAAGCCCTTTGTGATTGGTGTGCAGCTGCCTACTACAGGTAATTCATGAGGTTTGTATTAACGTTGCGTCAGTGCAAACACCTGGTGAGAGGAACAGCTCCTGCTCTGCCACCACCTGCGACTTGGTTCAACAAAGGGTTAAATATGGGTGTTCCCACTTCCTGCTCGTGCTCTCCTTCAGCTTGTAATCTCTCTCCTCTCTCTCTTTTCCCCTCTTCACTACCAAGGAGCTTTAAAGAGACTCCCAGGATCTGGACTTCGTATAAACATTAATAAATTCTGTAAATTAAACAAACTCTTCCAAGGATTTCATTTGATCTCAAAAGAAACTATTCCACCTTGTAGATCWCCAGGGTAAGTGGCTGACAGAATGTGTGTGTTCCATAGAAATGCTAAGGAAGAGAAGAACTGTCATAGTGGGTTAGTCTTGCGTCAGACAAAAACTATGCRGGACACACTGCTAAAGTGTAAGAAATGGACTTATCTTCTGGGTTTTACTTTAAATATGTTCARTGAAAATATTGTTACAATAGTTATTTAGTGTGTTATTAAAAACATTTTTGATCCCAACCCATGTAATCCWTTTAAAGGCACATAAAGGATGGGCTTGGATGTGTAAATGGAAATGGAATGAAAATAACAAAGGTACTTTTTGTTCATTTTCTTGCCTTTTTTCCCCCCTTATTTCTGTCCACTTTGGAAGAACTGCCCTCGTGGCCAGGGAGATTTTTCATGGATCAAGTTTCTTGTTAACCAGGTTTTTCTAGTTTTTCACCCCTTCACCCACCCTTGCTTACAAATGTAAAGGTTCCTCATAGTAAATGTGCTTTTTAAACGGTTAAAAAGTATTTTTTATACTAAATGTTTAATTACAAAGTAAGCCTCTCATCTGGAATGTTTGATGGTTGTATTGGCTTTGAGCCATTGGAAAGTTGTCTTCCATTCCTGTAAAGTAGTGACTAACCAAAYCAGACGTGAGGCCAGTATGTTGGCAGAAAAATCTGCTCAGTATTTAGGTGAAATGTTCACACTGAAGCTCTTTATGTCTGTTGCCCACTGGCTTCAAGCACCACGTTGTACAGCTGGATCCCTGCACATAAACAGAGCTGCTCAGTGTTCCAGTTTTGTGTGAAATTCTTAAGGAAAAGCTCAGTCTGGTCAAAGAGTGTCCTTAGAGATCGTATGTGAAAATCCTGAGGGCACTTTATAACCCAAGACGAGGGGGGAAGTCTCTCATGACCCTTGGTGGTCATTCCCAGAGGTGCTCATGCCAGCTTTGTGTCCCACAACAGCTTAGAGCAACATGAAGTCCTCTGACGTTTCAAGGTTGTTCCTGTTGTACACGCGTTGAACCCAAAGCACAAGTTCACTTTTATATAACTCCAAAATACTGGAGTTATCTGAGTTATTTGTAAATTTGGCTTTACTAGGAAGTAAAACCTTTAAAARGAAAAGATAAAAATCTTGTTGACCTTAGCAAGAACTTTACGGTACACTGGAACAATAAATATGTTTTTTTTTTAAACCAAGAAGCATTTTATTTCAGTGTCTGTTTTTTGAAGGGTGGGGCTTTTTTCCAAGTACAACAAAATTATCTTTAAGCAGCCAAGAATAGTTATTTCAAAGCCTTACTGTTTTCACACCCACAGGAAAGATAGTTCAATACATATAATAACGTAACGTAATGTAACGTACATTGCCATCTGTACCGTATCAGACCAGACACWTTATCATTGCATTGCCATACTATTACCATCAGCTTTAAGCACTTTAAACCAACACAGGACTAAAGTGCTCAGCAGATCAATAAATAAGACGTAACAGCAGTCACAAAACACGAAAGAATAAAATAAGTATAAGACATCAAACAAATTGAAAACAGATGTATAACAAAACAAACATTGCTGAAGCATTGAAGCACTATTACTACTGTTTTGTTTGGTTTCCATTCCATTCAGCCTGGTCTCARATACTTTACAATGACGTTTGGCTTGATGACAGTATGGAGGACGTGGACAAACCACCACCAGGGGAAAAAGTAAAAGGGAAATATCTCCAAGACAACCACAGAAACTTGGTGAAGCAATTAAAAAGTTCTACAGCTCGAACACACTTCCCAGTAGAAATGTCATTAAAAGTTTCAATTGAGCATAGAAAGGTGGACTTTTGATATTTATCTTTTAATGGTTTTTACACAGTCACAGTTAAAGCTTTATGAAGTTTTGTTTTTACTTGCACAGTCAAAAAAATTAAATTTTCAGCAAACAAACTCTTCCTGTTCCCACGACTTTCTACATGTACAAATTATACGTCAGTGCTTMGAGATATTTTTGTCTTCTTTCATCCCGTCTGTCTCTAAATGTTAAAAGGCTTACAGCTTTCTCTCAAATCGCCTCAGGGTGAAGAGTGCACACTGAACCTGTCTTATACCTCAGTTATATGTTTTTTAAACTGAAAAAAGGGTATTTTTACATTTTTCATATCTTCTTTCTAAACATCTGTAGACATAAAAACAAAACTGTGAGACCATTAAAGTTTTATTTCAAGGTTTTTCTTTCAGTTTTCAGACAGGGACTGATAGTTTRAGGCTTACTTTTTACTCTRTTTTTGTCTATTTTAAGTTGGCTGTCAGGGAGTGAGACACAAGTGTGTGGTTACCTTGCTGAAACCACACAATGTAGACARTTTTCTTAGCTTAGATCAGTATAAAGTTAACGTTGGCTGGGATTTTGGGAGGTAGCTTCATTGACACCCTGTCATTAGAATTCAATACACGGACCAAAGCCAAAGCRTGGTCCAAACAGGTTCAGCTGACACCATCTGTTGACAGTTTTCAAATCATAAATAATTGGTTGTTTTTCTGTCTTTTCAGTCRTTTCAAGTCTTAAAGACGAGTCTCTTCATCTTGTTAAATTTTATCAACCCTGCTGAACAACATGGAGCTTCAGAAGATGAACGGYCTCTACAAAGATGAAGGGTAAAATAGGAGAAAAGCAGTGACTTGAGAGTGTATCATATCACTTTAAGAGGTTCATTAAACTTCATATTTCCATGCAGGTTTGATGGGGTTGCCATGGAGGAAAATGATGAGTTTCTCCCTCATAAACCAGGAACAAAGAAAGAAGTTCACTTTACAGATGTGGGTCTTTTTTTTCTATAAATGACTTTGAGGGAAATACATTTTAAATCATGTTTTTTGTCTTTGACCAMCATCTTGTCCTGTCTTCTCATTCTAGTTTGAGGGAAAGACTTCATTTGGCATGTCCATTTTTAACCTCAGTAACGCCATCATGGGCAGTGGMATTCTGGGATTGGCTTTTGCCATGGCCAATACCGGAATCATTCTCTTTATGTAAGTATGCAAGCCACAGAGTCTTATTTGTTGAATTTCTTGGTAAAGTTGTGAATATTTACTTCCTCAAAGCTACCGAAACAAACTTGAGCTGTTTGTAATGTGGATTCAACTGAGTTTGTGTGTTTATACTGCMAATTTACACAGAGATATTTGCAAAAGGAAGTACTTCCATCTGCTTGTTGAATTCATTTAAACAAATTGTTTTTGTTCAAAAACATTTTTTCATAACCTTTTTGTTTGTATTTATTTTGTGTTTTACTTTTGCTTCGTACAGCAGAAGAGTAAAATTATCTTCTGCTTTATGAAGTAAAAACTAGTTGTTGTAGTTCTATAGTGAACCTATTTGTTCATTTTACTYAAAGAGCAGGTGACATAGAGGACTAAATATAAGGATAATATTTGTTACAAAAAATAAAACCACAAGTTATTAATGGATAAATATTAGARTTACTGTGTTGTCATTATGTCCTCCTTTAATTGGCTTTTTCACTATCTTACTTGAACCAGTGAAGAGTTTGGGAACTACTGTTCAGAAGCAGCACAACACATGACGTGGCATATATTTAGTAAATCCTTGGTTGTTGTTTTTTGTTTTCCTTTGCAAGTGAACACCTTCTTTGTCAGGTGTTTATGACATCATGTAAACAGCATGACTGTCCGAACCCTGATCTGTCAGACTTTACATTAGCGCGCCGCTCACACACAAGCWGCTCCTCTAAATCAGATTTGAGCAGTTAAATATAGACCCTTGTGATCAGATCCAAGACACGCCTTCTTGGATCAGGCCTGTGCTATGTGGCGGGGGTGGAGAACGGCCATGAAAAATAGCATCCCAGCTTTGACAAAGCCAAACTGGCTTATGTGACTTGGGGGGGAAAAATGCCAAAAATCAGAAAAATTCCTTAGAAACAGAATTATTAAAGGCCTTTTATTTTTTTTGTTTCAGAGTCCTGTTAGTGTGCATCGCTGTTCTATCTGCTTATTCAATTCATCTCCTGCTCAAAAGTGCTGGATTTGTTGGTAAGAAAGATTTCATACGCTGTAAAAAACAAGTTTCATATTTGTTGACAATAAATTACTAATATGTATTGTGTGTGTGTATATATAAAGTATATCTATCTATCTATCTATCTATCTATCTATCTATCTATCTATCTATCTA